GTATCCAATCAATCTTTCTGTTCCCAAAGGCGTAGCTACAACAGAGGTTATAGCATTTACTGGTGATCACTTTGAATAAGCTAGGACAAAGCGAATTGCAGCTGTTATGAAGCGCTCGAATAAGACGACATAAAGATACCTCTCGCCTATTTTGATATGATCACACCAGACCATCACGCTGCGCATGCGTCACGTTCAGCGATTTGTAACCCGTTTCTCAGCTGGTTGCACCAAAGCAATACAGGGTAAATTCCTTGTTTAAAAAAATTAGCGGTTAAGACAAAGTTTGTCCTTTCCGGGATTTAAACCTGGCATCTGTATAGTTCGAAGCCAACCTATTTAATGTTTATTGTATACCACCGCATACCAGGTAACGAATAGCACAGTGTCATAGAGTCAGGAAAATTAACATTAACAAATGGCGGTGATCTGTTCTTTGTCTGCCAGAAATGGTAGGCTAACCAAGTATAGGCAAAAATTGTGATTGCCTGATCAAGTCTGCTCCGTTTTGAACTGATAAGTGCTATCTTTACGGATTTGCAAAGGATTAAAGGTAGCTGCGAAATCTGCAGCGAGATCACATCCTATCACACAACGGGAAAAGGCTCAAACGAGTGGAAAACAAATAAGAATAATCGGCAAGCAGATCAGAAACAACAGCAAGTTGATAACAGTTTAAAGTAGCGCATTGCATTCATGAAATAGTAGAAAGTAGGATACCATATTCCATACTTTATTTCGATCGTTGAAAAATGCATTCTTCATGTTAACTGGAAGAATACCGAAAAAAGGATGTCGTTTTCGAAGGAATTTGGGAACTGCTAAAATAGTGAATGAAATAAACGAATCTGGCATTTAAAATGATTTATTCATTTTTCTGTTTCATTGAAAAAAACCTCATGTAAAGAACGGCATGAGCATGGGCATGCAAGACAAATCAAAGGACATGCAAAGCCATATCTTTAAGTCGGCCAGATTACCAATCGAATAGTTCTTGAAAAACACAAACGGGAGGAAGCTACTTTCTGCATAAAAATCAATGCAACCTTATTGACGATGATGGCTGAGAAAAAGCAAATAAAATGTACAAGACGATAAAATAACTGTTAATAAAGGAAATATATTATTCTTTGACAATTCTGACTGATTACATGACTTTTAAAGAGATCATAAGAAACAAAGAGAAGATCAACAGTAAAATTATAAAGAATAAGGAAAGGATAGAGGTACAGGAAATGAAAAGGATTTGATGACGAATAAGAGAAAGAAGAAGTACATGAGTAACCAAATTTCTGTCAAACTGATGCAATAACTGTGAATAATGTTCTTTGACTGAATTTTTGAAGTAGTACAGAGATTCAACCCAGCAGTCACTGGTATACCTTTAACCACCGAATGCTAGCAACTCATTTTAGTATGATTTACAATTGGAACCTGCATGTGAAGCGCTTCAGAAGGTTAATGAATTTAAGGATCTCATCTCCAGCATGTCGGCGATGGTACCATCTCGCCGGAGTCAGATAGGACAACTGCCATAGCCTGGAGTGTTATTTGAAACTTATTCAACACTTGGGCTGAGAAGGGAGTTTCTCATTCCACAAAAATCCGCTGTTATTTGCCTCAGCCAGGCCAGTACTTTCGTACGGCATGCAGAGAATCAAATGCATCCTTAAAGTCAAGGAAACTGGTACACCAGAATCGTCAGCATTGCACAGTCATCCTATTGAAACTGAGTGAAAATAAACTGACGCATATTGACGGTCAAATGGAAGGACCACGTAAGGAAGAAATCCGTTATCTTCCAGGTGCAGGTGACCTCGGTAGATGTGGAGATTAAGAAAAGGAGGTTAGTCTTGTTAGACAAATTGACTGAGCATACTCGATTTACTCGAGCCCATGAACTTCTCCGGTGGAAGGCGTCTACCAGGATACCAGCATGCATCGGAGTAACAAGTAGAAGTAGATTTGCTTTTAGAGGAATATTTTTTCTACGATGCAGTAACCGGTGCCTTATAGCAAAAATGTTGGAAAGCCATGGATACGGTGTACCGCAAGCAAGAGACATTCCGCTTTGCAAATGACTCAAGATGATGATCGCAACAAACAAACTTGTTTTGAAGAAGACATGGAATTAATATTAACCTTCGCAGTACTGTTCAAAGAGGTCCAAAAAATACGATTTAACACCACACTTGAGTCGAATCCTTCGAAGGTCGACGCATCACACCTTACTTCATATCATCTACTCTCTAAACAACGGATGGCATTTGTGAGGAAAAAAGATAACTTTAAATCCGATTTATAATTGCTTCAAACTGCAACCAGTCGAACGTTGTCTCTCGTAAAAACACATTTCGTCTACCTTTTATCAACCCTGAATTCATTAGTAAGGCAAACATATATGCAAATCAACAGTGCGCTCTGTAAGCTGCCATCAGACAGAAAAGTTTCAAGCGAAACATCATGTCACACCTGTTATTTATTTCATACAGCTTAGCGCATTGACTGCCAACAACAGGCAGCAGAACTTTTAGTATTTGTTATTTGCCTAATGTAAGCGATGCAAGAGATTACTATTTTAAATAAACCCGCGAGAAAAAATGCTAAAAATCAGACCACGGACGTGCATCAAGGCTTACCAATAGTTCGATAAAAAGGAGACCAGTGCATCCATGGAAAAAAATCCACCGTAACATTTTCCAAAGGAAACAACGCACTTAGGTGCGCTACTCACAGGTCTAATGAAAGGGGGTCACCAAGGCTACCTCATCGTCGAAGCAGATGGGACGCAAATATACATGACCAGTACGAGTTCGCCGGACGGTGAATGCTGTATATGGTACCGAGCTCCTGACGATGTTCTCGAAACAATGAAGGACGACGACAACAACAATGAATCGCGTCAGTGGGCCACGAAAGAACCGCAAGCAGATGCGCGTCCAACTTTGGTAAACGCGTGTTCATGAGTGACCCAGTTCCGTCCTGCTTTACGACGTCGACAGTGTAATTATTGCCATGCCTCGGGATAGAATGAGAGTTCGAACAAGAAACTGAATGGACTTAGCAACCTGGATTGACCTTAACTATTGTCACCGACCGCACAATTAATGCAGACGTTTGGTCAACGGTGCACTCGAGCTAAATACGACTAGTGAGTACTGAGTACTGACTGGCAAACGTTCCATGAATCGGCACTCATTTAGCCCAACTTGAAAACCCGTCGTAAGAACCGGCGTTTACCGTCGAAGGTCACCTCAACTCAAAGGTCATCCCCTATAAAATCAGGA